CAAGATTCTGGCACAGATTATTCACAGGTTACACATTTTTCCCTTTGAGAAATGATGAGCTTATGCTCTCCAAGAAATAATTGTGACATCTTTGGAAGCTTTAAACTATTGTATTTCGGGACGCCTGGATGGCTCAGTCCATTAAGTATCCGACTCTTGATTTCGGCTCAGGTCACGATCCTGAGATAGAGCCCCATGTTGGGCTCTGCACTGACAGCACGGAGCCCGCTTGGGATTCTCTCTCTCCTTCTCTCTGCGCCCCTCCGCCACTTGTGCTGACATGCTCGAGCTCGCTCTCTCTCAAAATAAATAAATAAGCTTAAAAAAATAAACTATCATATCCCTAGGTACCACATGCTGTATGGTACGTGAGCATGAAGCTTAGGCAATTCAAGACCCCTGAAAGATTCCTTCTTCTGCTGAAACCCAGAGGGACCTTCCTTCATGGGACTTACTCAGAGTGGAGAACAATGCGCAGGAATCTCAGAGAAGACCACTTTCATCCCTGCAAAGCTATCTCTGGGATACACTGTACAAAAGTAAGACTCAGAGAAACTACGCAGCCCCCTGACCGGCAGACCGTTTCAGTCAACTGTTCCTTGAAGTTCCCAAATAGCGTTCCAAGTGCTAAGAACATCCTAAGGAGAACCCAGCCTTCAGAAATACATCCACTCAATCAACTGGACTTGCTCGTGCAAATCTTTTGTCTTTTCAATTAAATTTGGCCCAGAGACAAAGTCACACATGAAGCCTGGGGAAAGGTCTACTTTATCTCTTGTTCTCTCAGGAAACTCATAGTGGCTGTTCTTACCGATGCTCCGATAGAGCCTTAGGCACTAGAGATACTAGTCAACTTTTGATGACGCACAATGTGTACAAGAGGTTGTGTCCACCGCTCTTTCTGAAGGCCTTGCTAACATATAAGGAGGTAAATAGTGGTTGGCTGGGGAGCAGACACTGCCAGGGCCCGGATCAAACCCTCACGCTCTGCATTCAGTGAAATTCCAGCAGCCAAGTTCTGCATTTCTTTGCCTGAGGATTTGCTCTGATCACAGCGGCAGCTGGAAAAGCCACAGAATTAACACCCCCTGGGAGCACCACTGCTCAGTGACAGAGAAAAGTTGGTTGTAAACATCTTGTCTCAGCCCTCAGGTGGGAGAACTGTAGGGCTCAGTTTCCCAGAATTCCCCAAGGGAAAAGCTCCAGCTACACATGGTGGTAACTCGCTTGTCAACACACCCTCTCTGACCCCTTCTCTACTGAGTCTCACGGTGACTCCCTTCCCAAATAAACCTCCAGTCCTTTTCTCAAGGTCTGCGTCTGGTGGTACCAGACAAAGGTACTTCATTAACACAATCTTTGGCTGGCCTTTTCAGATCTTCATCAGATTTCCATTTAAGTCTGTACCAATTTGACTTTTGTCCACTGGACTTTTTTCCCCCTTTTTTGGGGAAAGAGAGAGAGAGGAGAGAGAGCATGCTCACACATGAGCTCTGGGGAGGTGGCGGGGCCAGAGTGGGAGAGAGAATCCTAAGCAGGCTCCACTCTCAACATGGAACCCAACACGGGGCTTGATCCCACGACGCTGGGATCATGACCTGAGCCAAAATCAAAAGTTGGACCCTCAACCAACTGGGCCGCCCAGGCACCCCTGTCCACTGACTTCTTCTAAAGGAAACCTAAAGTTCCTAGGGTTACCCCTCGCTCTGCTCTACTGTTCACATACAGACACAGAGACCAGCAGTGCAGGTGGAAACAGATCAGCTGAGGTGATCATGTTCAGCAGTCTCCGAGAGTAAGATGATGCATATATGAGCACTCAGGAAACAGTTACGTAGGGATGAAATAAATGTATCTTATGCATGTGTGTATATGATATGATCTAATGATATGCATATCGTTACTGTTACTGTCTCTAAAAACTAAGCAACATTGTACCTTCTCTAAGAAAAAAAGTAGTTCATTAAAAGCATAAATGTAAGGACAGTAGAGAAAATTTGTTTTAGTGAAAAATATTTCAGAGATGTACAAACTAGGAGGCTACAAAGCATAGTGAACATACTTCAAGTCTGACGTATGATTATGAGCTAGGGTTTCATCTTTGCTGTAACAATTAATTCTAGTATCTCCAATCATTCATTTAAATGTTCTATGCCTCAATTTCCTTTCCCTTAATTTTTTTGATGTTTATTTTTGAAAGAGAGGGAGAGATAGAGGGAGAGAGCATTTTTTTTTTTTAATATTTATTCACTTTTGAGAGACAGAGAGAGAGAGAGCAAGTGGGGGAGGGGTAGAGAGAAAGGGAGACACAGAATCTGAAGCAGGCTCCAGGCTCTGAGCTGTCAGCAGAGACCCCAACACAGGGCTCGAAACTATGAACCGTGATCACGACCTGAGCCAAAGTCAGACGCTCAGCCGACTGAGCCACCCAGGCACCCCTCAATTTCCTTTCCTTTAAGGTGACATGTTAGGTTCAGCATTTTCCAAGGGTCCTTCCTACTCCTGACTTTCACTGTGCTTTCTGAGAGCATGGGGGCTTCTACGTGAAGTGGAAATGCCTGTGACCAACAGCTGGATTGGACAAAGACAACAGCAAATAGTGATTTGCATCCAGGGGGAATGTGCCTATAAACAACCAAACAGAAGACTCCAGACACTGGGTTCTACTTAGCTCAGTTTAAAGGATGCTCCATTCTGTTCTTTTCTTGTCTCTCTCCTTTTTTGCTGAGCACTTTTTTTTCTGTGCGTGTGTGTGTGGGTGTGTGTGTGTGTTTTAAAAGCTTATTTATTTTGTGTGAGAGAGAGAGAGAGAGAGAGAATATCCCAAGCAGGCTCCACACTGTGAGCACAGCACTCATGAACTGTGAGATCATGACCTGAGCATTAATACTGTCCTGAAGGTTGCTGGGCTCTCTCTCTTTCCAGATCCTCCACATGACTAGAAAAAGGGGTCAGCATACCTTTATGTATCGACTGAAGATTGCCAACAATTCTGGACATGTTGACCCAAGAACCTATCCATTTATGCAATCATGCCATCACCTTTTTTTTTTTCTTTTAGTGTTTATTTATTTTTGAGATAGAGACAGAGCATGAGTGGGGAGGGACAGAGAGAGGGAGACGCAGAATCTGAAGCAGGCTGTCCAGGCTCTGAGCTGTCAGCACAGAACCCGATGTGGGGCTCAAACCTGTCAACTGTGAGGTCATGACCTGAGCCAAAGTCAGATGCTCAACCAACTGAGCCACCCAGGGGCCCCCCAAAATATGCCATCACCTTGTTAACCATCAATTGATCATACTCCTGAGAGTTATTCAGTTTTCTCCTTATTCAAGATATTCTGTCTTGGTCCACAGTCATGCCATTGGTGCTGTGATACCATGAAAAATCTCATTTACGATTCTTGCACCTACTTTAGCTCAATGATCTCCTTCTTTATATCTGCCACCCAAGAATCCAGCAATGCCTTAAAACTCAAAGTCTGTGACTCAAATTTCTCTTCCTCCTACATCTTCATCATTAAAACTTCACTCGGAGACTTAAAATTACCCCCTTTGACCACAACCATCTGTTCTTCTATTCATTCCATTCCAACAAACAAACCTATCCTTGAGTGGGTCTTTCTCATGCAAGAGTCATGAAATTGTTTCTGTACTGACAGGTATCTTCTTAAGTGAATCCAAACATCCATTCGTACATTCATTTCTTCATTTGTTTAATAAAAACTGTCAAACATCTACTAGGTGCCAGATGGGATGGTAAACCCAAAGATGAATGAAATCATGTCTATAGCTTCAAGGAGTTCATGGCTAGTGTAGGAGACTGAGAGAAAAAAAATAAGCAACGTAAAGGGGCATCAGTGGTATAGAAGGGCAGCTAATAAAATGCTGTGCAGAGAGAGGAAGAAGCAACCAATTTCAGTCTGGGGTGTTGCTGATACAAACTGTGGTGTTGGATAAGTTCAGGAAGCCCTGGTTATCAGAGTTAAGTTTCTACAACACCAAAATAAGAATAACATACTTATTATGTTAGAGAAGGAGAAATCAGGTTGAGTGCTTATAACTATTTTATGATTATATAGACATTTTATTAGTATCTACTGAAACATTAAAATTTTTTTTTAAGTTTATTTATTTGAGAGAGAGAGAGAGAGAGAGAGAGAGAGAGAGAGATTAGGGAGGGGCAGAGAGAGAGGGAGACACAGAATCCAAAGCAGGCTCCAGGCTCCAAGCTGTCAGCACAGAGCCCGATGCGGGGCTTGAACTCATGAACGGTGAGATCATGACCCGAGCCGAAGTCAAACACTCAACCGACTGAGCCACCCAGGCGCCCCTACTGAAACATTTTAAAATAAAATATTATGCTGTGTGATTTGGAAAACTGATTTTTTTCCAAATCTGTCCAAATAATCCTTTGAACACAAGCTAAAAATAGAAGTTCCAAACCACTTTTTTGTTTGTTTGTACAGTACATTTGGAATGAATGATTTGAAAAAGAATGAGAATTCTGGCTCTTTAGAAGCTTTCAGGGCTTCGTTTTTTTTTTAATGTAAATGAACAAGATATTGTAAAATTGCTTTTCAGAAATAACTAAGAAAAATACCAACGACTGGAGCACCTGGGTGTTTCAGCTGGTTAAGTGTCCGACTCCTGATGTCAGCTCAGGTCATGATCTGATGGTCACAAGATCGAGCCCCATGTTGGGTTCTGTGTGCTGACAGCACAGAGCCTATTTGGGGATTCTCTTTTTCCCTCTCTCTCTGCCCCTCCCTGGCTGTTGCTGCTGACTCTCTCTTTCTCTCTCTCTCTCTCAAAATAAATAAACTTAAAAAAAAAAAAACGATTTTATCAATAAGTAAAAACTTCAACCTATTAAAAGGAAAACACTTACATTGCACCAACGCTCTGTTTTTATCTTCAATTTTCTTTTATGTCTTAAAGGACATAAAACAGGAGAAAATAGGAATGATATATCATGACAAGGAGATAATCGGAAAACATACCAGAAGAAGCTTCCAGTCTTTCCAATCGGCTGATCAACCAGTCCAGGGAGCCAGAAAATTGGGCACAGTTTTTACGATTTCCTCTAATTAGAGCCGCTGCAAGAAAAAGAGCAGACTTCACAGTTATGTGATTTTCCAGGTTAAAATGCAAGGGAAGTTGCTAGTGGCCCTAAAATGGTGGATCAAGAAGAAAATACTTTGGCTTAAAACATAAATATATAGACACACCTACATGGACAAAAATGAGATTTTTTTTTTAAAGAATTGATATTTATTAATAGGGACTGAAACAAAACACAGCTCATTAGAAAGACTACATCTTGAAGGAAGTTACATTTCATATTGGGAGGAAATAATAAAGGATAATGGAAAAACCAGTGTCCTGGGATTTGCCTCACCTGGGCTCTAATACTCTTTGCATTTAATTAGCCAGGAGATTAAATCATTTAATTTCCCTAGAGCTCAACATTCTCACCTCTATAATGAAGAAGTTAAGAGCACACCAGTTTTCCTGAAAATGGAGCACAAAATACTAGGAGAAACTCGGTAACTGTAATAGGGACATAGACAGATACAATTAATTAAAACGTTACCTGGAAAAAAGGATGGGAGGGTAGATGACTAGTAAGTCTGAAAACTTCTGCTTTCCCCCTGTATCTCCACTTCTCCTTTAAAAAAGATTCACCACCATGCATTTGAAGGATTCTGACATGCAGTCAAATCGCCTGTTCTAACTCTGTTTAACCTACTGTTTCTGACACACCTTTGACAAAAGAAACCATCTTCTATGAAACTCCTACGCGACCTCGAGGATCTCCTTCAATCCAATGTACATAATCCATTTAAAACTTCCAATGATTCAAAATCATGCCATTCTTTCAAAGCAAATCTGGTGAATATTTTAGGTTAATTCATGAGATTGTTCAGAAACTACAATTGTCTACAAAGGGTCAGTGAGATGATGACAGAATAGGGCATTTAATGGGAAAAAGATGTTGCCATAAGAAAACAATCACTATTTTTTTTTTAATTTTTTTTAACGTTTATTTATTTTTGAGATAGGGAGAGACACAGCATGAACAGGGGAATGGCAGAGAGAGAGGGAGACACAGAATCTGAAACGGGCTCCAGGCTCTGAGCTGTCAGCACAGAGCCCGACGCGGGGCTCGAACTCACAGACCGTGAGATCATGACCTGAGCCGAAGTTGGACGCTTAACCGACCGAGCCACCCAGATGCCCCAACAATCACTATTTAAACTCTGCTAGTGCCAGGAAGCAGTCTGAAGAACGCAAGTTTCAGAGCCCCTGTGGTGAGAGAGCATAATTAATGTTAGACTTCTGTCACATAAACTAAAAGTTGGTACCTGACCTCAGAGTAAGAAAAGAAACACTGACAGCAAAGACAGGAAGGTCTATTCTTACAACTGTAGGAGAAGAGCTCTGTGAACAGAGCCGCAGGACATTTGCACAAAGAGTAAACAATGATGCGCTTAATTACTTAGACTCCTCTCTCGCTCTGGGGCCAGAGGTCCAGCAAGAGCCAGCAATCATCTACACACACACACACACACACACACACACACACACACACACACACAAGTGACAAGTGCTAGGGACAAGTGTCAAGGATGCGGTGTCATAGAAGGATAAGGAGTCCAATGTGCTCAGCAGGATTTCTAATTTTAACCCATTAGAATATCTGTTCATGACTTACAACAACAGCCACTGAGGGGGGGTATAGGGTAAGGTTTCTGAATCTTTACAGAGTCTCATTTGTTTAAAATTTAACTCACTCTTTTAATTTTACCTCTGGTTTTTAAACCTGAAGATAGTAAATGTTTTCTTTAAAGGACAGATGTTAGAGATAAGGTGATTCTTGAAGAAGCTACAACGTAAAAAATCAACCCTTTTAATAAACCATGAAACATTAAAGAAAATCATAGAGTAAGCCACACACAGAAAAAAACCTTCATTAAATTTGCTGCAAACACAGGGCACCTGCGTGGCTCAGTCGGTTAAGTGTCAGATGTGGGCTCAGGTCTGATCTCACGGTTTGTGAGTTTGAGCCCTGCATCAGGCTCTGCACTGGCGATGGTGGGGATTCTCTCTCTCTCCCTCTCTTTCCACCCTTGTCCTGCTCACACTCTCCCAAAGTAAATAAGTAAACTTAAAAAAATTTACTGCAAACAGAAATGGCATATCCCATGTTGGTACAGCCCACTGACAACAATGTAACAAAACTAGAAATTAGCAAGAAAAGTAGAAACAAAAATAAAACTCAGCCACTTAATAATTTAAACTCTCTCATTAATAATTTTTGAGTCAGTAACAAATCAATACCAGAATTACAGAATATCTAGTAAATAGCAAAAACAGAAATGTTACCTAATAAAATCAGTGGTCTATGGTCAAAACTGTACTCAAAAATTAACCACGTCCACTGCTAAGCAGCAGGGTGAAACGTGTTAATTAAACAGCCTTTCAAAATGTAAGAGAGAACATCAAAAAATATAAGTAAAATAGGAAAAAGAAATAAATAGCCAAAAAGAACTTCATTAAAAATAGAAAATGTGATCTATGTAATAAATTAAAATGGTAAAATTAATCCACAAAGTCAAGATTTTTTTTAATGATTATTTATTTTTGAGAGAGACAGAGCATGAGCAGGGGAGGGGCAGAGAGAGAGGGAGACACAGAATCTGAAACAGGCTCCAGGCTCTGAGCTGTCAGCACAGAGCCTGACACGGGGCTCGAACTCACGGACCGTGAGATCATGACCTGAGCCGAAGTCGGATGCTTAACCGACTGAGCCACCCAGGCACTGCCAGGAATTTTTTTTTTAATATAAGCTAAATATCAACTGCTTTAATCATGAAGGAAAAAGAAAAAAATTAAGAATAAACAGGAATTATAAACACAGTCACTGTATCTGTGTACCAGAACTCTGAAACATCTAGGAAAAAGAATGGTTTCCAATTATGCATATGTATACTTTTTTTCCACCAAAACTGACCCAAAGAAGAAAAATCTAAATTGAAAAATAAAGCATGATTAATATTGAGAAGTATGTCAAAGACCAAAAACTTTTTTCTGTATTCAAGAAAAAAAGTGATTTCTAAACTACACTATTTTAAAGAAACTAAGGAAGCCTCCCTAATTATTTTATAAAGACAGTATAACTTTGATATCAAGACCCAACAAAGAAAGTATGCATATAAGAAAACTAGAGGGAACTCTTAATTACGAATACAAATCCAAATATCTTCTATAAGGATAGTATTTCCAAATCATATTCAGCAACGCATTAGCAACATTAACTCAAGTAGGGGTTCATTCCTCCAATGAGACAGAAATGTGTTAGGATGTCTGTTAATAAGTCCAAGATGAAATGTGATGATCTCAATAGACTCTGAAAAAATATATATATTTCTAATGAAAACAATTAGCTCCATAAAATCAAGTGCCTCCTGAACATTATCAGTGTGTGGGTAGGTGCATGTGTGCAGGTATGTAACATGGCTTACAGATAAACGGAGGGTAAAATCTTACAGTTCAGCAAGTTAGTTAAGAAGAAATCAGTTAAGTGAGTTTCCAAAGTAATTGAAAGCTGTGCTGAGAATTATAGGAAAGTTCGTCATGATACAGTTTATAAGAGCAAAATACTGGAAACAGTCTGAGGGTGCACTACCCTACCCTTCAGTAGGGTAGTATATGTCCACTAAAACCTGGTGAAGGGTTATAGCTACTGCCAAGAAGAGATGCCCCCAATACAGAAGACAGGTGCAAACAAATGCTATAGAATATTGGTCGTATGATCTCATTTTTGGGAAGTGCGTATATTCAATGTATATGTATACATGTATATGTATAAGTATGTGCAAAGCATGGAAAAATGGTGTTTTTTTCAGAATATTTCTTGGAAAATGAGAGCTGCTTCTTTGAGAACTATATCATGATAAGTTCCTGAGACAGAAAACAGAGACCTTAAGGAACATTGATAAGGGTAGGACTGCTATCCTGCATCCAAAGGGGACATTTTCTTATTTTAAAACAGGAAGGAAGATGAATGGAGCCAGGAGGAAAAAAGGATCATGCTCCGTGACGTTTTCCTTCACAAGGACTCCCTCTGGAGTCACAACAACTTCCATCCCAAAACAATCACAAACGGTCAATACGAATGGCAGTTTGCATGCACCTGTAAGGAGGTGAAGTTCAGCAAGCCAAGGTACTACATAACCCTGGAGAGACAACAGATGATAATGAAGAAGCATGAAATGGAAAACAATGTATCCAAATAATCCCCCAAAACATAGAGACATCAGACCGAAGCCTTGAGCTTGTCTCAATCCCTAAAATTGGAATTTGGACTGAGCTACCTAAGCCTTCAGGAGCAGAGGGCCACAAGTGATGTCATAGTGATGCGGGATGTGCATGGGTGTGAACACATCATGCTATTATTGTATGTGTGTGCATGTGGGTGTGTGAAGTGTTTTATATGTGTATAATGTTAGAGAGATTCACAGAAATGTTTTTATTTATCTTTAATTTTTTTTGATGCTTTTATTTATTTTTTTTAAAATTTTTTTTTTTCAACGTTTATTTA